TAATCCATGATATTCATGAATATAATGATTTTAGATATTGACATGGTTTGAGTATAATGATTTAAGATATTGGCAATGGACATCAACCGTGAGAATTACGAACAGGGTTTGCCCATTATTCAAAACGCCGGCGTTTCTCACAAGATTGACTTCAGAGAAGGTCCAGCCTTACCTGTTCTTGACCAAATGATTGAAGATGTAAGTAGGTCCATAACCGCCTATCTAATTAACTGAAAACTTGATGCTGACTTGTGATTAAAAATTGTAATTAACCTTAATTACTACTGCAGGGAAAATATCATGGAACGTTTGATTTCATTTTCGTGGATGCTGACAAGGATAATTACTTGAACTACCACAAGAGGATCATTGAGCTTGTGAAGGTTGGGGGGGAGTGATTGGCTACGACAACACCCTTTGGAATGGGTCTGTGGTGGCCCCACCTGATGCACCGTTGAGGAAGTACGTTAGGTTTTATAGGGACTTCGTTGTTGGAGCTTAACTGGGATATTGCTGTTGATCCAAGGATTGAAATTTGCCAGCTTCCTGTGGGTGATGGGATTACTTTGTGCCGCCGCATCAGCTGATCAACCCACTCTACTGAGACTTGAGATCAATTTCTCTTTCATCAAAAGAGAATCTGAGTTCAAATCTCATACTCTACCATTGTCCATTTCGAAAATAAAAAAAAAGACCATTGTCAAATAAAATTAAATGAAGGCTTATTTACTGTTTCACTCTCTAAAACGGACGCTTGGTCTCACTTTACCTCCTTAAATTGAAAATTTCTCACTTAACCCCCTGAATCTCTAAAAATGACTGAAATATTATCATTTTACCACTTTTGTTCATTTCCATCCACAAAATCATTAAGTGTGTTGGCGTGACGTGACATGGACCACTTTATGAGTTAATGTGGCAAGCGTGACGCTTGCAATGTTGTGAATTTCTCTGAACTCTCACCATACTAAGGGGTTTATAATTCAAGTAATTAGAGTTGATTGATTATGGATTCGGACTATAATTGGTTAGAGTTGGGGAGTTTGGTCCATATTTGATAGGTATTTTATAGTGATGGCCTTATCTAAGGCCCTTAAATGAGACCCTATCTCTTAATCGTTGGATTAAATTAACTTAGATAAGGCTCTATACAAAATCATTAAGTGTGTTGGCGTGACGTGACATGGGCCACTTTATGAGTTAATGTGGCAAGCGTGACGCTTGCAATGTTGTGAATTTCTCTGAACTCTCACCATACTAAGGGGTTTATAATTCAAGTAATTAGAGTTGATTGATTATGAATTCAGACTAGAATTGGTTAGAGTTGGGGAGTTTGGTCCATATTTGACAGGTATTTTATAGTGATGACCTTATCTAAGGCCCTTAGATGAGACCCTATCTCTTAATCGTTGGATTAAATTAACTTAGATAAGGCCCTATCACTTAATTATTGGATTAAATTAGTTTAATTTGATCAAACAATTAAGAGATAAGACCTCATCTATGGGCCTTAGATAATGCCGTCACTATAGAATGACTCAACCTTTTACATATACTCAGGCAGCCCAAATTTCTCTGACCCAATTAGAACCCTTGTATATAGGCCCAAACGTCCAATCAAAGGCTCAACAAGGAGATAGAGATGCCAAGAATGAGCAACCACGTGGCTAGAATTGAATGGAGGAAATTACAGTGACAAACATTTTTCTTCTATTTCTTTGACGTTTTTCATGTAATGACCACGGATAGACGATGAGTGCACGAAAAGTACCTGAAAAGCATGGACGTTTTTCATATGATTAAAATATACGCAAAGCGGTGTGAAAGAATAATAAAAAATGGAGAACTGAATCATGAAAATAAAGTAAAATAATAGGCCGGATTCCATAAGAACACGGCCCACCAAAAAAAGAAAAGTAAAATATAAACCAATGCTATTATAATCTTTTCTATTTTTTAAATTGAGAAATAATTGACGGCAGTGTTAAACTAGAGAATGATGACTATCTGAAAATGAGAAAAAATAGTGACTTAAAACTTAAAATAATAAGAAGGAGTACGTATGATGATTATTTTGGCGTGTCAATAATAATTCTATCCCTTTTTTGTGTTTGTTTATTCATTTCTAATAGTTGTGTTTCTTTTCCCTTTTTTTCATAAAAGGAAGAGAGATTTGAACCCTCTTCACCAATAGAAAGAGAAATATTGCTATTCTAACAAAAAAATAGAGAAATATTAGTTTAGCAAAGAACTCATTAGTGTAGTGGTATAGAGTAATTCCTTCTTGGACAAGGTCCTGAGTTCGAGTCCTAGCATCTGTGTAGTGTGTGTGGATTTAGCATATTATCTCTCCTCTCGTAGAAAAGGTTCTCAAACAAAGAAAAAAAAAGAAATTGTTGATAGTATTTAAATGTTTGAATGTCATTTATTTTTAAATACTGCTATATCAACTATTATTAGTTGTCCAAAATTCGCAACCCATACTAAATCAATAAACATGATTGCGTCATTTTAGTACCATGCAATGAAATTTAATAAGCTTTTTATTATAAAAAAAATCTAAATAATTTAAATAATAAATAAAGATGATTACGAGAAAAGACAGAGATGGCATCATGCGAGTCCTCAATTATCAAAGGGGTGGGGTTGTTGCTTGATTAATTCTTCGGGAAAAATGACGAAAACATGAGCACATCTTGTCCAGCTTTCCATTTATTTATGGTCTGCTGGAAAAAAATAAGTACATGATGTAACTTTTCTCTATTTACAAGTCTACGACTTTTTTCAAGGTTCAACAGCTGAGACTTTGTGAGCCCAAAAATCATTTTGGACTAACAATCTCTTTTTTGGGGTTGAAAACACTTGGGATGGTGGGTGAGGACGAGATTGATCGGTTGCCAATAGACCTCCTGGCTCATATATTTGTTCTGATCACTTCCTTCACTGATTTAGCCCAGTAAGTTGTTCATTTCTTTTCCTAATTATATATTATCATCCTGATTGTTTTCAAATTTTTTTTTCCTTCTGGGTTGTTGGTTTTGTTGTTCATTTGGGTTTATGTGTGTGAATTTGTGAAGGGCAAGCAGTGTGTGCCGGAAATGGAAACAAGGGGTGAAGCAGTCTCTGGGTCGCAGAGAGAGTTTAAGCTTTGCTGGGTGGAAGATGGACGATGACTCCACTGCACGTCTGGTTCGCTATGCTTACTGCCTCAAAGAGCTCGACATGTATGTCTTCTATCTCTGTTTTTTAGTACATGCGATAGTCTAAATTACAAAGAGAGGAGGATTTCTCACTCGAACTTGAAACATCTGGTCTGCAAAAGTCAAGGCCCTTTACCACTAACCCCGTTGGCATTTTATTGACGGCAGTGTTAAACTAGAGAATGATGACTATCTGAAAATGAGAAAAAATAGTGACTTAAAACTTAAAATAATAAGAAAGAGTACGTATGATGATTATTTTGTCGTGTCAATAATAATTCTATCCCTTTTTTGTGTTTGTTTATTCATTTCTAATAGTTGTGTTTCTTTTCCCTTTTTGTCATAAAAGGAAGAGAGATTTGAACCCTCTTCACCAATAGAAAGAGAAATATTGCTATTCTAACAAAAAAAAAAAAAAAAAAAT